ATTAAGTAAAAAAATATTTTTTTACTTAATAGCAATAACGCCATCATTTATTGATATGAAGTGATCTTAGTTTAAAACTGACATGAAAAGTAGTGAGTGATATGCATTCTTTCAAAGAATGCTACCACCTTATATAATTTCATGTGAGTCAGTGTATTCCAAACCTTAATTTTGGGGTGTATTTTACAATGTGATTAGTACAACACAGATCGGCCCACGAGGCAAATATAAGAACAGCATAAYMAGATTTAAACAGCACTAAAACTCAGTTGGTCAGCTTGTCTGGCACCTCCGTATGATGCAGCAGTCCACTGGTGACACAGTGTTCCTCTTTGTGGTTATTTTCACACCCATTAGGGCAAAATAATACAGAATAAATTGTATCTGTGGGCACGGATCAATAGATGCAATTTTTGTGCTGCTGAACACGGTTTTGCCGTAAGACTGGATTATTTATTGACAGACACCCAATTTCAGCTGTAAAGATGGCTTCTGTGACTGCTGGGAAGAATCAGATTTTAAATCAATTGTAAATTTAAAGTTTTATGATTCAATGCAAAAGTAAACATAAACAGTATGTCCGGCCCTTGAGTGGTTGACTGAGTAACTGTGCCCCCCTGAGCAGTTTAGCTGAATAGCCCTGTTATACAATGTTGCTTTTCTTTTTCTACTACTTCAAAATACAACACCCAAAGCTTGTTAGCACTGTAGTGAAGACCTGCTGAAGTGGGAGTGTCAGAAATGGTAAGRAGTTCTTAAAGAGACAGAGGCCCATTTCTAGGCTTTTAGAAAAACTGAAGGTAACATAGTTGACTGTGGTATAGAATTAAATTATGTGCCTGGAAAATACATAATGCCCCTCTTTTAAGGAATGAATATCACCCGCCACCTTCTATATTAGAGTTTTAGATTTTGATCATTTGATCTTTCAAAACAAAGCAGCTGTAGTCTTTTTTATCAAACCTTGAAAATAACATTGTGCAATACCATGATATTTTGTGTGATCTATTCATGCTTGGAGTGTGTGTTGTCACATACTCAGTGTGATCAAAAAACAACAATAAAAAACATAACGTGAGAAAATCAGTCATCTGATAAAATGTTTTTTTTTTTCCCTCCATACCTTTTCCCTTCCCTCCATCCGCTATAATCTCACAGATMCCCCGGATCATCCTCACTCATCCGTCCACCTCAGATGAAGATGTGGAGGTCTTGGCACAGATCCCCAGGAGAGACCGGCTACGTGACCTGAACAATCCAGACAAACAATTTCACTCTGAATACACACCTTGACCAGCTTCATAGATGTAGGACAGAGACCATTAGTGCTTTCCTGCTTGTTGATTCTTTCTTCTTCATTTTTTTTTTAAATTGACACTTCCTCAGAGATGTTACTGCTGAGAGTTCTGATAAAACCATCTGTTGTTTGTATCTTTATAGTGTCACGGAGCTTTTTATTGTCTGAGACATGTAATTGCTGCTGGTAGTTTTTCAAAAATAATAAAGCTTTTTGCAGAACAAAGACTGTGAACATAAACACTTGCTAAACATTTAAAGTCCTAACATACCTTGAAGGAATGCATGAAGCATTTTCTTTTCCTATAAAAACAGGAAGATCTTTGTTGGGATAATCAGCCACAAACAGCTAACACATCAGGGCGCCTGAGTCTTGCCTGGTCCTGAGACGAGCTTAGCTCTGCTTTCCATCTTCACACACCCCATGAGTGAAACAAATGATGGCTCATCAGGGTAAATTTCACAAAACAACATCTTGAAAGAAAAACACAACAAAAACAGCCAGAAAAAAAGTTTTTCAGTTTCCAAAACCAAGAACGTATAAATTATAGTTCAGTTCAACAATTTACCTTCTCATAAAAGGCTTCTTTCACTATTATTATTATTATTTTGAATATGAGATTATGACAGTTTTTATGTTTATGATGAAAAACAAAATGACTGAGTCAAAGCAACTTAAGTATTACCTTAAGGGGTTCACAGCTGACAACATAAAACAAAACATTGCTGCTTGTTTTGTGGGATGCTCTAACACACCTTTACCAAAAACTCTTCTGAGGACACGTCTGCCCGGAGAGCATGGCCTGGAATCAGAAGGGAAAAAAGAAAATKAATCCATCTCACTGTAAATATTTCAGAAGGTGTTTCTATACATCACGCTGAGGTGGGGAAGCACACACTCTGCGATCACAAGGTTTTTATGTGGGTCAACTGTATCAAACGCATATTTCAAAAGATTTTTTTTTTTAGGTCTGCACCTCTTTATGAACTGGCTGGATTTTTTTCTGCAGAGAAAAAGCAAGAGCACAAGGTGGGAATTACCAAAAAAAAAAAAATGCTTTAAAATTTGTGCCGCCTAAAACAAATTGTTGTAAAGTGTAGAAAGGTTACATGAAAAAAAAAATAGCTAGAAAATTTGTGATGCTTAAAATGATTTACCACAGTTGCAAGAAAAGTTTTAGCATAAAATGAGCTACTTTCTGTGCTGGAAAAGCTKCAACGGCTCAATTAAATTACTGTAAATATGGAAAAAAAGCTGTGTAAAAATAACTAAATGTAAATTCAAGCAAATATAAGTGTGTAAGTTTAGAAAAAAAAAGTCTTGAAATTTAACAATCCAGATCAGGTCCACAGCCAGTGACTTCAGAGAAAAACAAAATGGCTACCTACCTCATTAAAAGCTTTTATTTTTGCTTTACTGAGCCACTTCGTTCGCGTCCCTTTATCTGCAGGCATGGGTTACTTTCTGTTCAACATGAAARGCTGTCTGCACAGAGACAAAATAGCAGGGACTTTCCTCCAGGACCTCAGTGACTCATCAGGTCAGGTCCTAATAAAAGCCAGATCCATTTTGTCTGGCTCGGTTCATCCACAGAGGAAAACACACCACCATAAAACCGTTCAAGTCTTTTATTCCCTCACCTATCATCCTTATAAAAAACACGGGTTTAAACAGTGTCCATTGTGTGGTTTGTATTTTTAGGTTTACTTATTTTCACCCTAATAAACCATGGTTGACTCTCAAAACCACATTAACTATTTTTTATTGTGCTCTGAATATGATAATCTGACAGCTTGACCTGCTTCTTGCCAGATTACAACTTGGTATTTCAACTTTTGCAACAAAACTTTAGTTGAGATATGCTTCGAAACAAACCAGCCAGTTCTTTTCTGGATTTGCAGGAACATGTGCTGCTACACATTATGTGGAATTATGGTGGGCTGCCAGTTCAAGTAAGACAGTTTTAGATCAAAGGCTCCTTTGAGCATCCTATATATATATATATATATATATATATATATATATATATATATATATATATATATACAGTATATAATTGGCCCTTCTCAGTGAAGAGCTAACAAATGTTACTTGAAAATCAATGATTTTGTCCAAATGTTACTCAGAAGGTACTATAATGTTTTATGATAAATCTTTGGATTTATTTACATTATTGGAGATTTCAAGACAAAATAAATCTATGTAAGCATCAGAACTTGTCAGATTAACAGCTGACATTTGAGCTTGAAATGTGCAGTAGAAAGTCTTAACACACTTACATTCAGAACACCTAATTTAGTGCATCATCTCCAAGTGAACAGGAGCTGATTCAAGGACAGGCTTCTCTCTTTAGTTGTGGGTACAAATGTCTGGGCAGCACAACTAAAATGGCAGAAATAGCTCAGCAGCAGCCACTTGTTCATCGTTGTGTTGCAGAGAACTGTGATGCACTTTGCAAAGGCCAGAGAAATGACAAAGTCTGGGGCAATGTCTAAAAAAATCTATGGAAGTATAAGAGCTTTACGCTTTCTCTTAAGAACATTTCATTCTGAAACAGGCTTTGAAAATATGAGCTTAGGACAGAGGAGTGACTATGGGGTTTTCTTTTTTGTTATGAGTGTGTTTAACAGGTAAGTTTCCTGATGCATCTCAGTAATCCAGGTAAAAAATCAAAAAGAAAAAAATTGTATAGGTCTTCTGGACGGGTTCTTCTCTGATGAAACTTTTCGTCTCTTCTCCAAGAGACTTCTTCAGTCTGAGAGTTTCAGGCAAAATTCAGGCTTTTAAGCCCAGCCTCCATGTGACTGATACTCACATCACATGGCTATCGTTGACACCTAATTAACACCTATTGTTAAGAGGGGGTGGGGTGATACTGGCAATGGCAGCACTGTAGGAGGGGGACAACTGAAACCGGAGGCCTCCACCTCTGTTTAATGATGGACGGTCTTTCTTCACAAAAATGGCTTCWTCTAGTCAGGWAAGTTCTTTGAGTCAAAGAACTTTTGGGGGCTTAAGGTGAAACGATAAAGAAAAAGAAGAAAAGGTCTGGGACAAACAATTCAGAATGAATGATGCATTCGTTCGTCTCGTTCTCTCAAGCAATTATTTCTCAATTACAAAAAAAATGAAAAAATAAAAATAGATCAACCAGCTTGTTAGAGTAGGGTAACTCAGCCTAATATTTCAAAGTGATAAATCCACCGTGTTGGCAGACACTGACATCAAAACTCTGAATGTGACATATGTTATTTTTATCCTAAAGCCATGTTGTTGTTTTTTTTTTTTTATCTCCAATCCAGAACAAATCAAATTAAATCCAGTCTGCAGTCAGTCTTCATGTTTGACAGATGCAGCTGTGAATGAAAAGAAAACCAACTGGAAATGAAYATTTCAGACTTGGCTGGCAAATCTAATGATCTTTACAAAGTCTTCCTATAAGACAAGATTTACAGATCCTGTTATAGTTTCTCCTTCCATTGTGTGAAAAGAGCTGCTGTTGAACTGTGACAAGCTGCTTATTGTCTTCTCTGCTTGTACCTCTCCTTTTTTTCCATTTCAAACTTGATTTGAATGTTCTCTGTCTGTCACATTCCTTTTTTTCTCTTTGTTCTCTTCTGCCACGTAAAATAAATAAATRAGTCAAATCAAGTTGTTTCTTGTGGTGAATGCATTAATAAGACTCGTGCCATTAACACAGTTAAAGGGACATAACATGCAAATCCAGCTTTTTAGCTGTTAAATACATTTGGGTGCAGAAAATTTGAACTTAGTGTTTCACGGTTTGCAACCGCAAGAAGGACAGAACTAATTGTGGGGCAGAGATAACAGCACCTGCAGCGCAGAGGAGCAGGAAAAGAAGGATAAAAAAACTGCAAAATGGGGGTAAATCCGTGTACTTTTACAGACAATTTGTATAACTTGACATACATGCAAAATAGAATGAACCCCTCTGGAAGCTGGAGGGGGGCGGGGTTTGAAGCGCCTCACTTGGATTTAAAGAGACAGCCTCAAAACGAGTTGATCTGAGACACTCCTCAGCAAAGGGGTGAAAGAGGGACTTGTGGAGTTGCAACAAGGAGGAATTCAGTCCAAAGCAGTGCAGTTCCTTTTTATATAGACCCCCAGTTGAATGATTTAAATGTGAAAAAGAAGGATTTAAAAGCACGATATGTCTACTTATTTTGTTGTTTTTTATCTTTTGGCTGCTCCTTTCCGCAGAACTCATATAAAAGATTTGACAATTGCTTTAAGTTGTACCCTTCCTGAGGTTCAATCCTGCAGCCACAAGATTACAAGCCTGGTCCTGACCGCCTCTATAGGTTTAATGTTTAAATAGGCTTTATTAGATCTTTTAAACATGCCACAAAGCATGTTTAATTCATTGTTTTTATGATCTTTTATTTTGTGTATTTCTTTTGTAACAAAGATACAAATCTTGAGWACTTCAACAAACTTTGACTGAACACTTTGCTGAAAGCTTTGCTGTTATATATATACAATGTGTATATATATACAATGT